GCTCGACCTGCCCGCGCGGAAGTCGTCCGGAGCAAGGATGGCTCTCACTCTGTACCTCCTCCTCCTCCACCTCCACCTCCTCCTCCTCCTCCTCCTCCTCCACCTCCACCTCCACCTCCTCCTCCTAACACCTCCTCCTCCTCCTCCTCCTCCTCCTCCACCTCACCTCCTCCTCCTCCTCCTCCTCCTCCTCCTCCTCCTCCTCCTCCTCCTCCTCCTACACCGATCTTTGGCAGGCCGATCCCGGGCCCAAGATCGGCCTGGCCAGGCGCGGCGCCCGTCGCGGGCGGCACGGCGGCCAGCCGTGCCTCGACCGATGCTCATCATCGTGGCGCCCGGGGGACCCCGGCGGGGCGACCTCCGTTCACCTCGGACGTTCCCGCCTCGCTGGCCCACGGCACCGGCCGACCCACGGGCCTCAAGATCGGTGCCGGTGCGTCTGCCCCCCGGGCCGAGCCAGGAGGGCGCCGTCAGCGCACCGGCCCCTGGCCCAGGATGCGCGGTGAGGACGCAGGTGCCCTCGAGGGGCACGTCAACGCTTTCCGAACGAGGCTGGCCAGCGAAAGTCGCTAAGGATAGGCCAAAGGGGCAAGCATGCCTCGTAAATTGCGCTGCGTCCGCGCTGCCAGGGCCACGATCCCTTGTACATTACGCTGGGTTCACGCTCCAAGGGCCACATACTTTTCCTACGTTTTCGGGGAGTGCTTTTCGCCCCCCGCGCCGTTTCCTGAAAGTTCTGCGCTGGACCCGAAACCGCAAATCCTTGTAAATTACGCTGCATCAGCGCTCCCAGGGCCAAGATCCCTTGTAAATTACGCTGGGTTCGTGCTCCCAGGGCCGCGTTCCTTTGTAAATTACGCTGGACACGATCCCTAGTAAATTGCGCTGCGCCCGCGATCCCAGGGCCACAATCCATAAACAATGCTTGGCCGCTTCACTGGCAACCATCCCTTGTAAATTATGCTGCGCCCACGCTCCCAGGGCCACGATCCCTTGTAAGTTACGCGACGCCCGCTCCCCAAAGGACACGATCCTTTGTAAGTACGTTTCGTCCGCGCTCCCAGAGCCACTATCCGTTTGTGAATTTCGCCGCATCCGCCCCTCCAAGGGCCACGATCACTTGAAATCACGATGCGTCCGCGCTTCCAGGGCCAGGATCCCTCGTAAATTACAAGGCTTTCGCGCTTACATGGCCATGATCCCTTGTAAAGTCCTAGAACTTCTGGGGCATCGTGGGGGGCCCATCAAATTGTGCAAGCAAGCGCGGGACTCGAGACATCCTCGAGAAACCTGCGCGCAGGACGCGCCGTCCTCGAGCGGGCGCGCAAAAAGTCAACATTCGCCAATGTTATACAAAATTTTAGGGTCTCTGGATTTCGTTATGTAGTGAGGATTCTGCGCAAAACGCTCCGAACCCTTCTTCACAAAGGAAAATGAATGTCTGCGAACTCCGATAGAAAACGAGAATCCGAGATGGGGGCACCCGCGACATGCACTTTTTCCAGACTCGAAATGTGATTTTCCCGCAACGGAAAACCGCCGGCCCTCTTCAAGCATGGCACCCAGGATAAATGTACCAGACTAAATCCTGGGCCGACACAGTTCCAAGGAAAAACCAAACTCACGCAAGATTGAGGACCCCCCCAGGGGGGCGTCCACCGCTGAACCCGGGGGGGGGAACGACAATTGACTGCTGCTCCTGCCTTCTCCTCCTCCTCCCCCTCCCCCTCCCCCTCCTCCTCCTCCTCCTCCTCCTCCTCCTCCGCCTCCTCCTCCTCCTCCTCCTCCTCCTCCTCCTCCTCCTCCTCCACAATTACTCAATCTGAATACTACTACTACTCTCCCTCTTCCCCTGATGACGGTTTGAAAATGGCCGACCCCCCCCCGCGTACTGTTTTTTACACACAAATTTCCCCGGAGTTGGGTTTTCGCCTGCATTTTTTTCAAAATGCTGCTCTCGCTGAGGCGCCGGCCTCATTTTCGGGCCCCGCTCGTTCCGAATCGTGCTCCCGCTGCAGCGCTGGCCTCATTTCCGTGCTTCCGCTCGTTCCGAATCGTGCTCCCGCTGCAGCGCTGGCCTCATTTCCGCGCTTCCGCTCGTTTCGACTCGTGCTCCCGCTGCAGCGCTGGCGTCATTTCCCGTGCCATGCCACGGCATGCAATGCAATGCTAGGTTGATACTACGCTTTGCGGTGCTCTTCTACGCCATGCCATGCCGTGCTCTACAATGCATCACGTACCCTTTCGGGATCATTGCCCTGCTCGACATCCGACTGAGCGAGTAGAGAGGGGATCTGCGCCATGGTAAGGGATGGGAGGGGTAGGATGTCAGATATGACGCGAGCGCACCTAGCTTGTCCTCCTTCCCCTCCTCCGCCTCCTCCTCCTCCTCCTCCTCCTCCCCTTCCTCCTCCTCCTTCTATGGATGACACTGCATAAACATGATGTCTTGGTGGATGTCGGCCGGATCGGCGCTGCAACCCCCCTCCCTGGCCCGCGGAGCGCGCCGGGGGCGTCGCTGGAGGCGTCGCCCTCGGGGGCCCAACGCCGACCGCAGAAATCCGCACGGCCCTCCGAGAACTTATGCTTGCTGACCTGCTCCTGCTCCTCCCGCTCCTCATCTGCTCCTCCTCTGCTCCTCCTCTGCTCCTGCTCCTCCTACTCCTGCTCCTGCTCCTCCAGCTAATCCTGCTCCTCCTACTCCTGCTCCTCCTCCTCCTGTTCCTCCTGTTCCTCCTGTTCCGCCTGCTCCTCCTGTTCCTATTCCTGCTCCTGCTCCTGCTCCTGTTCCTGCTCCTGCTCCTGCTCCTGCTCCTGCTCCTACTCCAGCTCCTGCTACAGCTCCTACTCTAATTCCTCCTCCTCCTCGTCCTCCTCCTCCTCGGCCTGTTCCAGCTCCTCCTCGGCCTCTTCCAGCTCCTTTTCGCCCTCTGCCTCGTCCTGCTGCTCCTGCTCCTGCTTCTGCTGCTCCTCCTCCCTCTCCTCCTCCTCCTCCTCCTCCTGTTCCTCTTCCTCCTTCTCCTCCTCCTCCTCCTCCTCCTCCTCCTCTTCCTCCTCCTCCTCTCAAACATCGGCTCGGGGCTCTCCGTAGCATTTTGGCTTCCTGGCCAGCTCAGAGTCGTGTCCGACGCCGCAACGTGGCGCTTGGGTGGCATCGCGTCTTCACCTGTTTCATTGGATTGCCGATCGCGGTGGCGAAGTCGGAGCTCGGCAAGGCTCGGCAGCTTTGCCGTCATCCAATTGTGGGAGATAGGTCGGATCAAGTTCATCTTGGGCTGGGTCTTCCCCGTCTTCGGCTGGTTCCTGAACCTCTGGCCCTTTTTTCCGCACGTTCTCACCAATTTTCTGTGGGCTCCAGCAACAGGTACCTGGCAATTGGCTGAGCCTGGCCAGCGCAAGGCTAACGTTTTTTTGTTGCCGGCTGAGCCTGGTCAGCGCAAGGCATATTTTCCGGGCTATTCGTGGTTGGTGTTTTTGTTTCAGTTATTACTGTTCCAGGTACCTGGCTATTGGCTGAGCCTGGCCAGCGGAAGGCAAACGCTTTTCGGTGTCGGCTGAGCCTGGCCAGCGCAAGGCATATGTTCTGGGCTATTCGTGGTTGGTGCTTTCTTTTACAGTTACTACTGTTCAATGTTGGGCTGTGGGTAGGTTTAGAGGAATGAAGCTTCGCATTTGGCAGTGGGTATTTGTTGTCCATCAGTCTAGCTGTTGGTGAGGCAATTTGTGGAGGAAGAGAGCTCAATAACCGTACAGCTTTTGAGTTTGCTCGGTTCAAAATTTGCCCAGTGACCTGTGGTGAGCTTCATGATGGACAGGGCGTATCGAGTTGAATTCATCTCTGCGTATCTGGCTGTCATGTTTGTGTGCAATGTGGTTTTCACTCTCTGTGTGTGGCGAGGGATTCATCAGAGGTATGCGCGGGTGTGGTCGTCCTCCTCTGGCTCCTGTTTTCCTGTCCTTAGCTTTGTTTTCTGGTTCGGCTACTTCTCGTTCGAGTTCAGAGGGCGGCCTTCGGATTCATAACTACTCTTATGATAGCGGGGCATCCAAGAATATCTACGTCCTCCTCCTCCTCCTCATGTTCCCTCCTCTTCTTCCTCCTCCTCCTCCGCCTCCTCCACAATTACACCATATAAATACTACTCTCCTCTCTCTCCTGACTCTGTCTGGTTTGCTTTTCACACACAAGATTTCATGTGTTGTTTTCCCTATGTGTTGTTTCAATCTGGTCGTTTCTGCTTCTTCCAAAATGGTGGTCCCGCTGCAGCGCCGCCCTGATTTCCGCGCTTTGGTCATTCAAAATCGTGCTCCCGCTGCAGCGCTGGCCTCGCTCCTGCGCATGCGGACGGCATTTGGCATTCGAAAGCGCCCACACCGGGCAAGCACGGTCGCGGGGGACACGGAGCCGGCATTCCGGACAAGCCCTGTCCTCTTGTAGACGGTCCACTTGCCCTCCAAGTCATCCGGTGCCATGCCATGGCATGCAATGCGATGCTGTGTTGTGCACCACTGTGCGATGCTTTGCGCTGCTATGCTTTGTGATGCAATGCTTCACTATTTTACGCAATACCGCGCCAGGCTATGACATGCTATGCTCTGCCGTGCCCTTCTACGCCTTGCTTTTCCATCCATCGCGCGCCCTCTTGGGATCATTGTCCTGCTCGACAACCGACTGTGCGAACAGGTAGGAGGCCTACGCCATGGTAAGGGATGGGAGGGAGGGTAAGACGTCAGATGTGACGCTAGCGCACCTAGCTTGCCCTCATCCCCCTCCTCCTCCTCCTCCTCCTCCTCCTCCTCGTCCTCCTCCCTCCTCCCTCCACCCTCCTCCTCCCTCCTCCCTCCTCCTCCCTCCCCTCCTCCCTCCTCCCCTTCCTCCCCTCCTCCTCCTCCTCCTCCTCCTCCTCCTCCTCCTCCTCCTCCTCCTCCTCCTCCTCCTCCTCCTCTCCCTCCTCTGGTCGGCTCGATGGCGCGCGCGCGGACGCGCGCTCGCAGCTTTCGCCGGCGCCAGCGGTGCCACAGCGCTGGTCAGCGGCGGGCGGCGAGGCGCCGCCGGTCGCTGGAACCCCGTGTCGCTCGAGGAGGCGGACGAGGCCGAGCAGTTGCCTGCGGGGGGGGCGTCTCATGCCCTCCATCTCCCCCTCTCCCGCCCTCCATCTCTCCTTCTCCCATCCTCCTCCTCCTCCTCCTCCTCCTCCTCCTCCTCCTCCTCCTCCTCCTCCTCCTCCCTCATCCTGCATCCGACCTCCTACCTGCTTCTCTCCTGCCCTGCCCGGGTGGGCTGCGAGCTACGCAATTGGCGCCACTTTCGCGGGTTCCTGGGTGGGTGGGTCTTACGCGCACCTGGGCAAAACCTCGCGGCTCCCTGGGAGTGCCGCGCCACCTGCGCACCTGGCGCCACTCTCGATGGGCTCCTGGGAGGCCCAGCGCGGCGGGGTCTTACGCGCACCCAGGCCACACGTCGTGCCTCTCTGGGGGTGGCGCCACCTGCGCACCTGGCGCCACTCTCGTGGGCTCCTGGGATAACAAGCGCAGTGGGCACTACACACCCAGACTAAACCTCGCGGCTCCCTGAGAGAACTGCGTGACCTCGTGAAAGGTGACCCCTTCTTACGTTGGCCCCGAGCACCCCCTGCACCTCGACGTATCGGTCGGGCGGACTGGGCGTTTCGCATGAGACTTCCCCGCCTTTGCGACCCTGAAATTTTACATTTGCATCAGCTTGAAGTATGGAGGGCGGCCCGCTTCCAAAATGTGGTTCTCGCCTTAGCGCCGCGCGAATTCGTCCTGACAAGTGCGGCAGCTTGAAGGATGGAGGGCAGCTCCTTTTCAAAATGCGGTTATCGTCTTTAGCGCCGCGCGAATATGTTTTGAGAGTTTGCAGCAGCATCCAGGAATTGTATGGTCGAACCCCCAGGAATAACATTCTGGGGCGAATGAATGTTACCAGGACGAAGCAGTAACTGGTCGCAGTGTTGACGTCCATGGACTTGTCTTCTGGCACCTGCTAGAATTGTCAGGACGCGACAATCAAGTAGATTCGCGACGTGGAAGCCCCAGGAAAAGTGTAGTGGCACGGCTGGGGATTCTCAGACGGTGGTCTTCCAATGGGGCACTTCCACCAATGACAACACATTCTTGCAGGGGTTACGAAAGAACTTCAAAGGAGGGTTTACTGAAACAAACTTGATGCGCTGTTGGTTTACACTGGTCGTCCCCCTGCCCCTCCTCCTCCTCATCCTCCAACTCCTCTTTCGCTGGCACGAGGCAAGCAACTCCTTCCTGGACCCCACAGGATGACGAGTTTCGTCCTGGGTAGTTTTTTTTTGCTTGGAGGGTGAATGTGGGGGTCGGGCGCAGGGGCCCGGCAACGGTGTCTTTATGGGCCACGCATGGGCGATACATCTTCGAGTGCTGTGAAACTCCCCGCCTGCACCCATGCGCGAGACTTGAGGGTAAACGAAGCAAAAAGTCGGGGGGCTGGGGAACGGCGACGAAGGCAACGTGCGTTGAGGGCGCAAGAAGAAAAGGTTGTAATAAAAGCGGCGGGGTGGCTGTCAAAATCTGTTCAGCCAATCTGACATGCGGAACAGTGCGCCTCAGTTTCGGGGATTTTGATGGCCAGGGCAAAATGTGAATTCACATGGTGGGGAACAGCAAAATGTCAATTCACAATTTGGGGAAAAGAAAAAATGTGATGCCTAATTCTATCATGAAAAAAAGAGACAGTGAATTCACATTTTTGGAGAATCGAGGGACCGTTTGGGAACATACGCGATCATCAATCGCACAACGAAGACACACTCGCATGCCACTTCGCCGCCCCACGCGCGACATGCAAAAACGGCCGCGCGCGCGAACGATAATTTGCCCGCGCGGGCAACGCGCGGGCACGAACGACTGGCCCTCCATGGCCGCCAACGTTGAATGCCAATCATATCCGATCACAGACATGAGCGATATATGCAAGACATTCAGCCCCCCTTGCAGACCCCCTGTTGCAAACCCCTTGTTCCACCCTCCAAATTACGAGCAGGGGGCCCGTGGAGAACCGGCAAAACCCGACATCGGGGAATGGAATCGCCTCGCGACAAATTTCTCTCAGGACCTGCTTGCTTCACGGCGACTCCTCCCTACGCTCCCTCCTCCTCCTCCTCCTCCTCCTCCTCTTCCTCCTCCTCCTCCTCCTCCACCTCTTCCTCCTCCCTCCTCCTCTTCCCTCCCCCTCGTCCCTCCTTCTCTTCCCTCTTCTGCTTCCCTCCTTCCTCCTCATCCTCCTGGCAAGACTACACGAGGGCCAAAGTCCGGCACAGATGCCACGGCCCCGACTCAGAGAAAGATGTGCTGCACCAAGCTGTTGTCGAGCGCGGAATCCCGCTGCAATAGGGGAGCCAGGCCACGCTGGCCGTCCGACTCCACATCCCATGTATTCCGCCAGTCGCCAGGTACAGCGCCGTTCCCGCTCGAAGAAACGGGATTCACATCTGCTTGCAGTCGGCGGGCGGCGGTGGCGGCGGCGGCAGCGGCGGCGGCTGCGCGGGCACCGCCGCTGCCACAACGGCGATGGCCTGCCCGAGCCCGCCGAGGGCGGCAGCAAGGCCGCCAGGCTCGTCCTCGCGAGCCGCACCAGCCAGGGGCAGGGCAGTCCTCCCCCACAGGGGTCCGAAAACCAGCGGCCGGGCAGTCATCCCCCGTGGGGGCCCAAGAGCGGCGGCAGCCCAGCAGCATGCCCCTCCCGTGGGCGGCTGCTGGGGGCCGTCGCACGGCGCCTCCCTGGATGGCGGGGCGGCAGCGTCTATGTGGACCTCCGCTTCGTCCTCTACGCCCTCGTCGCCGTCGGTGGGAAGCACGTCGAAGTCGCTCCCCACGTCGTCGTCATCGTGGCGGTCGGTGGCTGCCGCCTGCGCACCCACGGGGTCGGTCCGCAACACGCCCTCGACGGACTTGGCCTCCAAGGAGCTGAAGACCACCGCGCCGCACGTGCAGCGGATGCCCGAGGGAATTGGCTCCCAGCTGCCCGCTCCAGGCACGAAGACGGCAGCAGACGCGTGCAAGGCACGCGGCGGCGGTGTTGCAGCGGGCACCCCTGCGCCGAGGCGAGGCCCCGCTTGGGCTAACACCCATGCCTCACGCGGGGCGTCGGCGTCGGGGCACTCTGCAGCGTGCCAGGCACACTTCCGACGAAGTCGACGGTCACCAGAAACTCGCGCAGCGAGACAAGCGAACGAAGGGCAGGACGAGCGATGTCCTCACGTCGGGCGACCTCGCAAGCGGCGCGCCCACAAGGAAGGCCACGGAGCCGCTCCACCTCCTTGCTCAGCATGTCGACCTGGGCCTTGAGCTTCCTGACCAGGTTGTCAGCAGCAGCCCTCGTTGCCGCTGCGCCTCGAAAAGGCTTCCCGCAGCCATACCCACCAACGGTACCCGCAACGCCATCGACTCTGGCCGACGGAACCATGATCATGCAGGTTTGAGCAATGGGGCTGTCGCACGCTGGTGTGCGGCTAGAGCCAAAATGGCTACGGCTGGCGACTCCTCCTTCTCCTCCCCCTCCCCCTGCCCCCCCCCCTCCTCCTCCTCCTCCTCCTCCTCCTCCTCCTCCTCCTCCTCCTCCTCCTCCTCCTCCTCCTCCTCCTCCTCCTCCTCCTCCTCCTCCTCCTCCTCCTCCTCCTCCTCCTCCTCCTCTTTCTCCTCTTCCCTCCCCTGGGGCAACCAAAAGGTATCCATAACTGCCCGGACCTCTGCCGGGGTGCGCTCTGACCAGAACGTCGACACGAATCCAGCGGTGGCGACGTGACGACGGACGCCCAGGAGGCCCAACAAGGGAAGAACGCGGCCAAGGTAGTTGTATCAAGGTAGTTGTATCGGTACCTTTTTTCCCCTCCTCCTCTTCCTCCTCCTCCTCCTCCTCCTCCTCCTCCTCCTCCTCCTCCTCCTCCTCCTCCTCCCCCTCCTCCTCCCCTTCCCCTCCGGTTCAGCATGGGGACAACGAGCCCTGTGGGAAACGGGCCCTGGACCCTGGGGCCTTCCCTCAGGACGAGTTCTTTCTCGCGAGTCGTTTCCCGACGGTCCCAGGGACCGTGGAGGGCCCCGACAGCTCGAGAGCGGCAAAAAGTCTCGGGACCCGTTTCCCTCAGTAGACGCAGAATTCGCAAAGTACCTACACGCATTTGGCATGGATCCGTCGCGGGGGACCCACGATCCATTCCATCGAAACAAACACCATCGAAACAAACCTATGTTTTTCACCATCATCCTGTGGTGTTGGGTCCTCGTTTTGAAGAGACGGTGCCCCGCGTCCTCCTCCGCCCCTCCTCCTCCTCCTCCTCCTCCTCCTCCTCCCGTTCCTCCTTCCTGTCCACCTCCTCCCTCCACCCGTCACCCCATCACTTTGGCACATCCCTCCCACATTTCGTGGCCCAATAGGGAGCTCCACCGAATACTTCAGTGGCTGCGTTCACATGCCGCTCCCCTTCAACTTTGGCCCACCCCTCACACGCTTCGTGGCCCCGCAGGGAACTACACCCAAGGCCCAAGTGGCTGCGTTCACATGCCGCCTCCTGTCCACTTTGGCACACCCCTCACACTTTTCGTGGCCTCATAAGGAGCTCCACCGAATGCCCCAGTGGTTGCGTTCCCTCATACGTTTCGAGGCCCCAAAGGGAGCTCCACCCAAGGCCCAAGTGGCTGCGTTCGCATGCTGCCCCCTGTCCACTTTGGCACACCCTTCACACGACTCGTGGCCCCATAGGGAGCTCCACCGAAGGCCCCAGTTGCTGCGTTCGCATGCGTTTCCCCCACCCAGTACAACGCTTCGTGGCCACATAAGGAGCTCCACCGAAGGCCCTAGTGGTGGTGTCCACATGCTTATCTCGCACCCAGCACAACGCTTCGTGGCCACATAGGGAGCTCCACCCAAGGCCATAGTGGCGGTGCCCGCATGCGTCTCCCCCACCCAGTGCAACGTTTCGTAGCCCCACAAGGAGCTCCACCGAAAGAACTAGTAGTGGTGTCCGCCTGAAATTCCCCCATCAAGTACACTGCTTCGTGGCCCCATAGGGAGCTCCACCGAAGGCCTCAGTGGCGGCGTCCGCGTGCGTTTCCCC